TAGTTGTCCGATTAATTTCTTTCTATTTTTAGTAGAGACGGGGTCTCGCTCTTGCTCAGGCTGGTCTCGAACTCCCGAGCTCAAGAAATCCTCCTGCCTCGGCCTCCCAGAGTGCTAGGATTACAGGTTGAGCCACCATGTGTGGCCTAAAAATAATTCTTATTAATGACAATGCTAGATACTGTTACTAGGAACTAGAAGGAAATAAGATTTGCAGTGTTTTTGGGAGGTAGTACTACAAAATTTATTTCCAAATATGTTTATCATGAAATGGATGATTAAGTAAATAACATGAAAAGCTGCATGTGAATTTCAGGTGGATGTTACACTTTAACACATAGACATAGCAGCGTGTACACACATACACACACAGTCTCCCAAACCGCATTCCCTTGGGCTAGGTAGCTACGTGGAGAGGCATGCCCTTTGAATGTTGGTTTCCAAAGACACAGGTTTGGTTGAAGAAAGAAATCTGATGAACCCAGTTACATTTGAAATATAACAGCAGAAATTATCCCTATAACAAGACATGGAACATAATGCCATAGAAATAATTTTATTAGTGACAAATCAACAAGAGAGGAGCAGAGAAAGCAGGGGATACTGAATTCCTTCCAGATCAACACTGCAAAACCAGCCGCCTTAGGGAATTGCTACTTCTGCAAAAATTGGTACGCTAGGGAATAAGAAAGCCACACTCTTGGCTGTGGCCTGCAGGACTGTCCCCTCTCAACTGCGATCCAGGTGTCAGACTCTGCACCAGCTGCGGGGTTCACATCAGCACTGTGAATGCCTCACATCCTGTCATCTCTCTCCCAGCTCAGCTGGGTTCCAAACTAAAACCAGCACGCGTGCATCTGGAGAGCAAAGCCTAAATCACGTCTGACTCTCTAGCGACAGCGTAGTTAGGGAAATGCAGGTTTTCATTTTCAATGTAGTTTTTCACTTTCCAGCCTTTGACATCCAGGAAGGCGCAAGAGAAGAAAAGCTGGAAGAGATGCTGAGCAAACGCAATCTGAGTCTTATCACATATACGTATCTGTCCCCTCCCCTGGCTTTGCTCTGAACGTCTGTGTCCCCCCAAAATACGTGTGTTGAAACCTAACCTCGGTGATGGTATTGAGAGGTGGGGCACTAAATTATCTTTTTTTTTTTTTTTGAGACAGAGTCTGGCTCTGTTGCCCTGGCTAGAGTGCCATGGCGTCAGCCTAGCTCACAGCAACCTCAAACTCCTGGGCTCAAGCAATCCTTCTGCCTCAGCCTCCCAAGTAGCTGGGACTACAGGCATGCGCCACCATGTCTGGCTAATTTTATATATATATATATATATTTTTTTTTTTTTAGTTGTCCAGATCATTTCTTTCTATTTTTTAGTAGAAACGGGGTCTCACTCTTGCTCTGGCTGGTCTCGAACTCCTGACCTTGAGCGATCCACCTGCCTCGGCCTCCCAGAGTGCTAGGATTACAGGCTTGAGCCACCTTGCCCGGCTTAAATTATCTTGCATCAAACATTTATTCTTCCCCCTGCATTATCTATCTGTATAAACTACACAACTTCACCCACTTGCTGAAGCTGGACCCCTGGAAGTTAATTTGATTCTTCTCTTCCCCTTTCTGTTCCTACATTCCAACTGTGTCTAAGGCCCATAAATTCAGTGGAATCCTTTTACTTGAGTTCTGAGTTTAATAGGTGCTCTTGAAAGAAAGACCTCAGACATGCTCATTCTAGCACTTTATTGGAAATTGGTTGTGTACATCAATGAAATCAGATCAAGGTAAAAAGCTTCATTTTCACACAATAATATCCGGATATCTGTGCTGTCTTCATACATAATTTAATAAATCCCCAGATGCTCTTGATTTTGATATCAAAGAGCTTGCATGGTCTGGAAAATATCTCTATATAAATATAAGTCATAGAGTCTAAAATAACCATCACTGTTTTGATTTGGTTCCGAAAGTCCTGGGAACGTCTCTTAAAACATAAGTACCTTGCTTGGATCAGCTGCAGTGCTGGTGGGAGGGGGGAGAAGGGAGTATACACGGAGCTGACTGCAGCGGGAGCTGGGCAGAGGGGGACAGCCTCCTCTAGTGTGGGGCACACGAGGGCATGGGGGCTGGAGGTCCTGCAAGCTGGGCAAGGAACTCAGCCACCCTACATTTTCCAACGTTGCTTGAGTGTCAAAGCTAACAGAGACATGAGACTCCAGGGCAGAAAGAAGCCCATCACCCCAGCTCCCTTGTCATTGCCAATAGGTGGCAGAGCCCTCCTCCGCATTACACAGGGTCAGAGATTCTGGTACAGAGAAGGTTCTGGGAAGTCCTACCCATCTCCCTCCCGCTGCCATACTCAGTTCCCTCCCAACTAAGAAAACACAAGGGAGGGGCACCTTATGAGTATAACTTTGAGCCAATGTACCACCGGCCCCTTGGAATGAGGACAGGGTGCCCTTTGCGTGGTTCGACCTGAGGGGCACAGGCAAAGGCTGCTGTGATGCCAGGGTCTCCCTCACTACCTTTGAGGCCATCACCAGCAATTAGGTCCTTTGGTTCTTCAAAGCTCGTCAGCACTCAGCATCTCACTTGTGTGTCCGTGGTGACTTTACTGCTCACAAACGGCTTTCGGCTCCACTAAGTCCTTTGGTTCTTACAACCCTACGAGGTAGGAAGGGCAGGGAACACAGTCCCCATTTGAAAGATACGGAACCTGGAAATCATAGAGTTAGGACCCTCAACCAAATTCGCACAACTGGTCGGTGGCAGAATCAAAACCAGAACTAAGGTCCAAGCTCCAGAGTCCCTCCTGCTGCTCTGCTTTTCTGAAAACAGGGATGAGGCTGGGGGAGGGACTCCTGTCCTCATCCCTCACCTGGCCCTCCTGGAAGGTTCTCAGACAACCCCACTGAGGACTGGATGAGTCCGCATACGGTAGATGATGACCGCAGTGGCCGGGCACAGCAACAAGGAGGTCATGATGACAATGGTGGCCAAGATGATGAGGACAATGACCCAGATGTCCAAGATGTGCTTGGGAAGCCCGACTTCCATGGGGACTTGGCTGACTGCATCCATGCTGCTTGCCTCTGCAACAGGAAGGAAGGGAAAATCACTGTTGCATACTGTCTCCCTGCCTCCCAAGTTGGAAGGACACCCCCAGGACTGAGAAGCTTGAGCGACTTACCAGATACGTCATCTTTAAGGCTCCTTGATTATTAATGACATTACAGTAAATGGCTTCATTTACCAAGGGCTTCCTATTACCAAGCCTGTGCTAGGCGCTTTTATGTCTATTAACCCATTCAGTCCTCCCTTGGACCACTAACCCTATGATGTAGAGACTATATTACTGTCCATTTTTTTTTTTTTTTGAGACAGAGTCTCACTGTGTTGCCTGGGCTAGAGTGCCGTGGCGTCATCCTAGCTCACAGCAATCTCAAACTCCTGGGCTCAAGCGATCCTCCTGTCTCAGCCTCCCAAGTAGCTGGGACTACAGGCATGTGCCACCATGCCCGGCTAATTTTTTCTATATATTTTTAGTTGTCCAATTAATTTCTTTCTATTTTTTTAGTAGAGACGGGGTCTCGCTCTTGCTCAGGCTGGTTTCGAACTCCTGAGCTGAAACAATCCGCCCACCTCGGCCTCCCAGAGAGCTAGGATTACAGGCATGAGCCACCGCGCCCGGCCTACTGTCCATTTTTTATTTCTTGGCCTTTATCTTCAGTTATGCCCATTTTACAGATGTAGGCCCTAAAGCCATTAATCTGAGGAAATGAACCCAAGTGGGTGGGACTCCAGAGCTTCCATGCTTAACTATCAAACTATCATACTACTAGTCTGTCCCCTCATCTGTAAAATGAGAAATTCACTGTTTTTGGTCCTGTACCTCTTCTCCCATTCTCCTCGGAACAAAAGTCCCTCTTTTCTGGAAAGGACTCACTTACTCTATGTGGTTTAGTTGGGACACTCACCTGATCACAGGGATGGACGTGTGACCCAGGCTTGGCCATTACAAATCTCCATAACCACAATTCAGGGATAGGAAAGTGACCCAACTAGGTCAACCAAAGTCTTCCCTGGGGCTTTTATGCACAAGCTCTTGGGAAAGATGATGCTTTCTGCTGGGATCGCTAAACTGAAAGGATGTGAGTCTGGAAAGGATGGGCCTTGGGCTCTCTTGCTCGTAGGTGGAGAATCTGTCATAGAGATTGGAAAGACAGATGGAGCCTTGATGACCTCATTTGAGCACCTGAACCCAAAAAAGTTGGGGACCACTGGTGTACACAAATAGTAAAATAAAGTAAGGTATATCCACATAATGGATCACCATGCAGCTATTATCATGTATTCATTCATTCACCCACTTGTTCATTCATTCATTTAACAAATATATAGTGCTTACTATACCTCAAGCATTATTCCAAATGCATTACAAACATTAATTTATTTAACTAATACAGCTATTATGGAAAACAATCTGGAGATTCCTCAAAAAAACTAGAAAGAGTTCCCATAATAATCCCAGTAACCCCACTTCTGAGCGTATAACCAAAGGATTTGATATCACTATGTCAAAGAGACTTCTGTACTTCCATGTTTAGTTCAACATTATTCATAATAGACAAGTTATGGAATCAACCTAAGGGTCCATCAACCATGAATGGATAAAGAAAATGGGGTATATGTATACATTGGAATACTATTCAGCCTTCAAAGAGAGAGAAATTATGTCATTTGCAGCAACACAGATGAACCTGGAAGATGTTATGCTAAGTGAAAAAAGCCAGGCACAGAAAGACAAATACCTCTTGTTCTCACTTGTACATGGAACCTAAAAAAAAAAAAATCTAACACATAGAAGCAGGGAAGAGAATGGTAGTTACCAGAGGCCAGGCAGTGGGGGGAATGGGGATAGGTTGGTCTAACAATGTTTCAGTTAGACAGGGGAAATAAGTGACAAGTATCTGAGATTTTTAAAAATCAACTTATTTACTAGTTATTAAAAAGAATCTGGTCTGCAGTGAGCTACAAAATATTTTAAGTGGAAAAAATAAACAAGGTGCAGGATAGTGTGCATAGGTATAGGATAATTCCTTTGGTTCAGATTTTGTAGAATTAAGAAGGTAGACAGGCAAGGATATAAGACATTAAAAATTATTTAATAAAAATAATAAAAATTATTTTCTGAGTGTAATCCCAAGAAAGTGTTAATAGTAGTTACCTTTCAGGGGGTTAGACTAGAGACAGGAGAGGTTTTTGCTTTTCATTTTTCATATTTTTATACCATTTTAATTTTCTAAACATGATCATGTATTAATTCTAATTTTTTACACCAACTGGGATGACGGGAAATAGGATTTTAGGGTTTTTTTCTTTATAATTCTCCGTATTAAAAAGAGTAAATACATACATATATAATTTTTAAATCAAATAAAATTAAGGTATGAGACTAGATCAGTGGTTACCAAATGCCATATACCATGGTAAGTGACCTTAAGACAGTATAAAAACACTGATTTTTGGGTCCCAATCCAGACTTACTGAATTAGACACAAAAGGGGATGGGAGAGTGCCTTTTTTCCCCTTTGCCCAGGTGATCTGAATGTGCAGCCAGGTTCTCTAAGGTCTCTCAGACCCTTCCCACACTAAGATTTGGGAATTGACTCCTAGGTGCTCCGTAGCCAGGCTGGGCAGATCTGGGTAAGTTCCAAGATGGAGAAGCCTCTGGCAAAGTTCCCCAGGGCCACAGGACTATCAGGCTGGGGCCTGCAGGAGAGGAAGAGTTACAGGCTGGCTCCACCTCAGCCTTGGAAATGGAGTCACTTTCTCCAAGGTCTAAGACACAGAAGCATGAGTCACAGGAGACACAAAGAGGGACAGGGGGGAGAAATCGTTCTTTGTGGTCTCCTGATTACATCAACAGCTAGCCTGCCTAAGGCAAAAGGAACCCCACAAAATCCCCTTCCTGTAAACCCATTAACTTCAAACAGTCTCCGGGACTCCAAATGCCAGGAATACATCATCGCCCCGGTCGATTTTCATAAGCAAAACCTGTCATTTACAGGAACTCAGGCCTCAGGGCTCACCCACAATCAAGAATTATGAAACATTAAAGCTAAAATCAGTCCCATTTCATAGATGGAGAAACTGAGGTCCAGGGGTCTTCCCCTATTTTCAATCCTAGCTGCCTCCGGCATAATCATTCAAATACATAAATCTGATTATGTCACTGCCCCTATCAAAAAGAAAACAAAACAGGACAAGTAAATGAATAAATGAAACTTTTTCTGTAACCTGTATACTAGACTGTACCAATATTACTCTTTCACAAATGAAACTGTATTTACAACCCACATAACGAAAACTGACACAAGTAAAGCTGCTCCAATAGAATCAGTTCTATCCACTCGGCAGAGCTCAATAAATATCCTTGGACACCCTAAGCACTAGAGATTAGGGTGCCTATCCCCTTCACATATGCAGTTCAAACTAAGAGCAACACTAAACCATAACACATGAAGTTTATATATTATGATTAAAGACATTTTTCCTTCTAATTGAAAAAAAAAACTGAGAAAATAACTTTTCCCAGTTTTTTGTTTTTTTGGTGTCCCTATTTGGTGCAGTCTGTTTATTGGTGATACAACATCACTGTTCGATTTCCCCTTGACTTCTTGGGCTCCTCAGAACACAGTTTGAAAGCCACAGGTTGCAGCATTCTCCAAGGGCCCTTCCAGAGCTACCATTCCAGGATTCTAGGCTTCCGGGCCGTAGACGTGGACAGGCATCAGGCACAGGGAGCTCTATCTCCCCATTTTACTCTTCTCCATCCTCAAATGTGTATCCTTCGATGGGCTGTTCCTCCCCATGAAATAGGAGTTCCAGTCACTTCCACCTCTCCCCACTCACTAGGAATGAAAAATTTTGTCCCCAAAACCATATGTTCAGCATCTTTAATTGCATACTAGAAAACTTTGCTTGAGAAAAAGCAGGACACTAAGCCTCTCCTAGCTGACTTCTATTTGACCTCCATTTGGCATCCGGGTATATCTCATGAGTGCATAAAACCTTGTTTCTTGGTACATCTAATTAACAGTTATAGATCAATTTGCTCATCATTTGCTTTGCAAATACAGTGCTTGTTATTTCTGATTAATGGTTCCTGTCGGAATATGGCGCAAACCATTCATGTCACAAATTTAACCTCACTGATAAGAATATGACGTTTTTATGACCACAGGAAGTAAAACAACAGTTAGGCCTAAACTCCTGTCATTATGAACTAGCATACTTTGTTGTCTGCCTTATCAATGAATAATAACCTTTGACATATGTTCAAAATAAATTTGTCTGAGAAACCGCATTAACGTCACCCTGAGCTCACCAGCAGAGAAGCCGCTACTACCAAATATGCCGCCCCATCCGATCACAGACCCTACAACACCAGCCCTGCGAACCACACACATCACTGCTCCTCCTCAGTCCATAGGGCTTAAGCAATTTAGCCAATTTAATGGAAAAGTTAATAATCTCAAAATGACTATTTTGTATCCACTAACAAGACTGAGTGTAAGGGTAAAAAATATATAGTTTCCCCAAAAGAGGAAAAAAACTGTACTTTTCCAAAGGTGGAAAATTCATCCCATCTATCAAGTACTCCCCTTGATCCAGTTTAGGCTGGAAAGGGAATGCCCTACTGCCTAATTAGGAAACACCAAGTTTTACATTTGGGACCATTTTTCTTAAGCATCTAAAAGTCCTTTTGCAAAAGAAAAAATCGTTGTTCCAGCCAGTCCCACCATGTAACAAATTTTCTAATTGTAAGAAGAATTATATATATTTCATAAAGTAAAATTTCCAACAAGTTGGTAGTTTTAGAATAATTGGAGTCAAGGCAGTAAACTTGTGCTATCTAGTCATCAGACTTACCAGCAAGCAACTTTTCCCTCTTTGACAGGGCAATATTGTTTTTATTTTTTTATTTTTATTTATTTTTTATTTTTTTGAGACAGAGTCTCACTGTGTTGCCCGGGCTAGAGTGCCGTGGCGTCATCCTAGCTCACAGCAACCTCAAACTCCTGGGCTCAAGCGATCCTCCTGTCTCAGCCTCCCAAGTAGCTGGGACTACAGGCATGTGCCACCATGCCCGGCTAATTTTTTCTATATATTTTTAGTTGTCCAATTAATTTCTTTCTATTTTTTTAGTAGAGACGGGGTCTCGCTCTTGCTCAGGCTGGTTTCGAACTCCTGAGCTCAAACGATCCGCCTGCCTCGCCCTCCCAGAGAGCTAGGATTACAGGCGTGAGCCACCACGCCCGGCCCAGGCAGTTTTCTTGACTATGCCTCTTTGCTATGTAAAAGCTTATTGAGGCCCAGAGCCTGAACAACTTCACAAAAGGTAAGGCCAGTGGTTTTCCAGAATCAAACACATACACACACACACACACACACACACACACACACACACATACACACACAACAAAAGAAATGTCCTATCAGAACAGAATCACTGACGTAAGCAGTTTCACCTTTGCATTTACACCTCTGGCTTCAGACCCAAAAGCAAATAAACCCAGTGAAAAAGACAATGGGTAAACCTTGTAAGTTATTTATTCCTCACTGTGCTAAGACCATCAGAGAAGAGAGGAAGAGACACCACACTCCTACTTGTAGTGGTAGCTTCCACCAAATCGGGGGAAATCCCATGCATACAGAACGAGGAACTGGGAGAAGAACGGCAGGGGCAACCTTGCCTAGGTTCCAACTCCGTCCCAGCATTGACTTGCCCAACACAGCTCACGTCCGCCTCTCCTGCAGAGAATGCCCTCCTTCTCTACCCAGCAGTTTAGGCATTGATAAACATTTTTTAAATCGATAAATCTCCAAGCTCTTGTATTCCAATAGGGCCATGGAATGGCCATGGAAATTCTTCCAAGCAGAGGAAACATTTGGAAACAACAGGGACTATGCAGAGATTCTTTCCTTTACATACACACTACAGGGTAGTGTTAAAGTCCCAGACTCTGAAGCCAGTCTGCTTGGATTTAAATGCAGCTCCATCTGAGTGACCTTGAATAAGTTACTTAAACTTCCTTATACTTCTATTTACTCAACTGAAAAAAAAAAACAAAAATGGGAAAATAGTTATCTGTTAGGTTTGTTCCAGGTGGGAACTCGAAAAGTATGTATGGGTGGGACAGAATGCGG